TAAACTCCCATTTTTCTCCAGAAAGAGAAAAAAAATTGTTTAAAGATTGCGATCTGGCTGAGCCTTGCGAGGAAAGTGGCTTTTAATCCACAAACCCAAAAAATGGGAAAAGTATAGAGGAAGAAGGGGGGGGGAAAGAGAAGTCCAGTTTAAAAGTAAGAGGCATTTGTAAAAAGTCCGTCCATAAAAAACAAACAAAATTAAAGTGAAGAAGATAACATGATAGTTTTAAACCAGGGTAAATTCGCCACTTGTTTCCTTTTGTCTTCAATTTTATTTTAACTCTGAGTCTTTTGGGTTTTCTCTTCTCTAATAATAAAGATTTTTCTCACCATTTCGACACACTCTCTCTCCTGTGCTGCTTCCGTTTCAGGAGCTTGTCCCAACCTTCTGTAGCCATTTTGGCTGCTTCTCTTGTAGCCGGCAAAAAGAGCTTTTCCCTGGATCAATCAGGGGCTTCGTGATGCCCCTGAGATCAGCAGGACATGCCCTTCACTATCACCGTTCCTTCAGAACGGTTTAGATCCAAAAGGATCATCCAGCAACAGAGACATCAACTGCAATCCTGGAGCCCCAAGATTGCATGGCGTGTCGTTGTGATGTCGAGCCCCGCCTCCAACCCTTCTCCCTTTTGTTAGCAGCCCAGTTGCCCAAAGGTTACCGCAGACTGCAGGGCTCCCTGCAGCATCCAAGCAGGTTCCCTTTGCTAAGAAAGTTGCATAACATCTGGCAGATACAAAGAACCAACCAACCTGAAGGCTGAGCCAACCTTGTTCACCTGCTGGGAGCAGCAAGGAGCCCTTTGGAAAGGAGAAGGCCAGGAGAGCAACACTCAACCCCTGAACAGCTGCTACACCTTCTGCAGAGCTGCAGCAACTGCCTCCCACTTGCAAGCACTCGTGCAGTTCAAAACCACCTCCGACCCCACCCCTAACCCAGAAGTCCTTGCCCCCCAAAATGCAGCCTGGTGAGGGCCAGTCCAGCCGTGAGCTCTAGCTGAGCCAGCCCTGGGATGGAAAGGCCAGGCAGGCCCGCCTTTCTTTCCACTCATTAGGTCTGATGGCTCCCCAAACTGATCTGAATAATGGATGAATTGGAGAACGCTTACAATGTTCTGTGCGCTTGGCAGGACGAGAGAACGATCCTTTACAGAGACGCAAACAGAGAAAGCCACCCCCAAAGGAGCTCAGAGCAAAGGTCGGCTCTTTCAAAGTGGCATGTTTACATGGCCCACTCCCCCCATTCGACTCCAGGGCTTGTGGTTGGAAAGAGATCCCGTGGATCAGGAGACAGAGGAGAGGGGGGTCTGGGCTGCAGCAGCTGTCTCTCAAGCAAGCCCAAGCCGCTGGAAGCCCCTTTGGAACTCAGGGGCCCCACCGAGCCATTCCTGCTGATGGCTGCCTCTGCCCTGACCCGCTCAAGACCCATTCCCCTTTTCCAAGAAACACCTGGCTCTCTATCCCCTTCCCTGGCTGACTATTTACCCAGGGAAGGCCTTGCCCAGCCCACAAGCAAAGCAGGGCGCCATCTTTCGGAACTCCTGCCTGACCCCCTCCCAGGTATGGCCACGGACAGCATTATGGGGGCCATGTGCCAGTCCATCTTCCGGCCAGCCATGGAGCCTGTCGGAGGGACGGCCCAGACAGATAGCAGGCCTGCCCTGGAAGGAGAGGCGCGAGAGTGCCGGGGAGGATTCCTACTTGTGGCCACCCACCTTTCACAGTGACATGGACGCTCTGGCTGATCGAGAGCTGCGGCTGAATGAGGACGCTGCAAAGGTATTCTCCTTCGTCCATCCCCTTCTGGACATCCATCAGTTTGAGGGTGCCATTTTCAAAGACCACTTGTCGGTGGTTGTCCGGCAGGAGTAATGAGTCCTTGTACCACTTGATTGAGTAATACGGGTAGCCAATCACCCGGCAGTTGATGAAGGTGTCCCGGCCTGCCACAGCCGTGATGTTCTTCATGGCACGGATGCTGGGAGGGCCTGAAGCAGGGGGGGAGAAAAGGGCAGGCTAGGGCGATTCAAGGAAAGGGGGGCTTCGCTCCCAAGAAGGAGGGAGGTGGGAGAGGGCCCCCACCCAGGCCCAGCAACATTTCTGTCAAGCTGGCTTCCTTCACATGATTTCAAAGACTCCAAGCGATGGGTCTACGGAGATTCTCAGTCACCCAGGCCCTGGTTGTCCCAAAGGGGCTTTTTCAAAAGGCAACTGGACTTTCTTTGCTTTGCTTGAAGACCTTTCGATTCTCATCCAAGAAGCTTCTTCAGCTCTGTCAGAACTGAAGAAGCTTCTCAGATGAGGAGCAAAATGTCTTTCTTGAAGAAAAAACAAAGTTTAGTTGCCTTTTGAAAAAGCCCCTTTGGAACTCCAAGCAACGGCAAGCAACAACTCCTTCTTGCTAGTGGGCCGTTTTATGAATGGTAGCCAGAGACGGAGTGCTTGTTGCCCTTCTGCTGAGTGAGAGCCAAAAGGCCGGCCTCTCCCATTCCATAGGCTTCCAGGCGCCCTACGAAGAAGCACGGGGGAGGCAGAAGAGACGTCGAAATGAAATGCACAGGACGCTGAACTGCGCAGCAGAAACCTAGGGAAGGGCTTAATATTGCCAGTTTCGCTGGGGCGATGGGTGCAGAATGGCACCCTGCCATGCCATCAGGAGTTCAGCTCCACCCCACCCCGCCTTTTCTGCACTCCCACCCAGGTCCCGTGGGGGCAACATATTCTACCCACACTTTGCTTGGACATCTGAGGTCTGCATTCTCCCCCCAGCACCCTCTGCTCTGCCAGAAGGCATCCTGTGGCGGGACGACACACAAAGGTAAGGGAACACGGCAGAACAAACGGCACAACCAACCAGAAACAAAAAAACAATGCAAGAAGAGCCTAGGCTGATATTGAAAAGTAGACAGGCACCTCTTACGTTTATTCGCGCTTGGTATTCGGCGCTGCCCACCGAGTTCCGCGCAGTACATCGGTAGACTCCTCCGTCCCTGATGTGTGGGCCCGTCACATTCATGTGGCTCACGGTGGTGCCGTCGGACATGGTGTACTGGTTGGTGCGGTGGCTGCCGTCTCTCTGGATGGGCTCATCATCCAAGGACCAGGTGATGGTGGGGGGAGGGGCTCCCTTGGCTGCACACATCAGGGAGAACGGCTCCCCAGGGTTCACCACCTTCTCACTGAAGGAGGAGACAATCCGGGGGGTCCCGTCTAGGAGGGAGACCACAGCAGAGATGGGGATCAAGACAATGGCTCTCTCCATCCAAGCAGGGCTGAGCAATGTTGAAACACCAAATGTCAAGCCCTAAATCTCAAAACATTCCCGAAAGCCTGGAAAGAGGAGGGCATGACTCTGTAGGCCCCTCGCCATTTTACGTAATAGTTACCCTCCTGTCCTGGCAATTCATACTCTCTCTGACCCAGAAGTGGTTTTTGTAGGAATACTATTCATTGTGAAACTACCCTAGCCTTGCTGGCTTAATGGGCGCCCTGTTCAACCCCTTCCAGTCCAATAATTTCCTTCCTCCCCTGTAGTAAATGAGAGTTAGTTCTCCCTCCCTCCCTCCCTCCCTCCCTCTCTCTCTCTCCCCTTTCCCTCCCTCTCCTCCCATTTGTTATTGGAAACAGATCCCATGGATCAGGATGTGGAGGAGAGCAGGGATCTGGGCTGCAACAGCTATAGGATCCTCTCAGACAAGTACGAGCTGCTGGAAACCCCTTTTGGGATCTCTCCTTCTTTGGAAACGACCCAGGGCTGCCTCGGGAGCCTAGAAGCCCCCCTCCAGGGTTGGATGCTCACCCTCCAAGACAATTACGGCAAAGTCCTGGGCTGTCTGGACCTTCCTGGTGGCAAAACACTGGTAGGCCCCTGAGTGGCTCTTTTGGGCAGCTGTGATGAGCAGCGTCTCATTGTGGATTCCCCGGATGGCGACAAAGTCATCTGGAACCACCAGCTCTGTATTGCGGAACCAACGGATGGAGTATTCCGGCGAGCCAGAAAGTGCACCAGAGAGGATGACAGTGCTTCCAATGCCAGTCTTCAGCTTCTTTGGTGTGAGTGTGACCCGCAGTGGCTCTGTCGAAGACAAAGAGCACAGCCCATTTCAAGAGAGGAGGATACCCACATAGGAGCCACCTAACCTCTCTTCCCAATCCTCATCCACGGCTTGTCTGCAGGGATGCTAAGAGAGAGGTGGAAATGGTCGTTCCTGTGGGAATGCCTCTCGATGGGTCAAGTCTTTGGAAACTTCATTTTCCTCAGCTGCCTTACGTGAAAGACTCCATATTTCTCAGTCCACTATGACCCCAATATCTTTTTCCTAGTTAGTTACAGACAACCGATATCCCAACTATATCTTTTGCCCCAATCGGCAATGTTATTTTAAAAAGTTCTCTGACTTTAGTGGAAATGCATTTGTTCTTTGATTGGAGAATCACACAGGAGACCATTCTGGAGCTCTTCAGAATAATTTCAATTTTGCATCCAGAATAAGTTATATTTCATTGATAAATATGGTAGGTTACTAGTCTCCCAAGCAGCCGGGTCCCCCAGCTGTGCATCCTCTGTAGAAATATGGGAGATCTTGGAGCATCTCCATGCTCTCTCTTCTTGTCCTCTCGCCTCTCCCCCCCCCCCCCCCCCCCCCAGTAAGAGAATTTTTGTACACAGCATCTGGGCATTAAGTCTTCACCCACTCACCAATTACTGCCAGGATCCCAGTGACCTCAGCAGACCCAAAAGTGTTTGTGATTTCACAGATGTAGGTCCCACTGTCTTCCACACGCAAATCACTGATCATCAGGCCTGTGATACGCTTGGTCCATCGACTGTCAGCAGGCAGGGGCCTTCCATCCTTTACCCATCGGATGGCAGGATTCGGGTACCCAGAGGCAATGCATGGCAGTTCCACTAGTTGCCCCACCTTGGCTTCTTGGTCCTGGAAGCTGTCTAGGATGGTTGGGATGGACTCTGCTGGGTCTGAGAAGAGAGAAACAAATGGAATTCATGGGGGGCAATCAAAACAAACGGAATCCCGGCCAAATTCTATGAACGCAGTGCATGACAATGAAAGGTACTCTCAAACCCTTTGAAGGATTTCTCTCTCCCCTCAAACTGGCTCCATGGTAGAATCTTCCAAGTCTTCTCGCTGGCCTGTGGCCATTTGGACCCATATTCAGAAAGTGCTCCGGATGAGGGTGATGTCAATAGAGGCGATTCTGCTCCCGCTATCTCAAAGAAATGTGCAGGGCAGCTTTCCCAAGTTGCAAAAAACAGCATACAACAAGGTTGTACTTAATAAATATCTCACCCAAGCATAGATCCGTTTTTCTGTTTTCTGCCAGTCACTCTGGAGCACCTCTGAAACCAGAGTTTCCAGAATCCAGAAGCAGAGGGATGATCCAGTCCAAAGTCATTGCCATTCCCTCTTCCAAGGATGGACTAAGGTGTGTTAGTTAAACCATCAGAGTCTCAAGAACAAGCCCAGGTTCCCACTGGAATCTAGCAGGATCTATCAAGTTCCTGAGATGGACCCATCAAACAGATCCTTCCTCCCTGTCTCAGGGAGTGTCTGTAAATAATTCTGATGCCCTTAGAGAATGATCTGACCACGACAAAGGACCCAGCTACATCCCCCCCCCCATACCAGATCACATCAGCATTATCCAAAAACAAAAGCGGGTGACCAAAAGTTTTGAGTTGGGCCTTCTGCAGCCTCGGCCGGTGGGAGATGAGAAGTCTGTTATTCAAAATATGCCAAGAGAGGAGAACAGTGTAACAAGGAATCAGGAGGAGAAACCTTTCAAGAGCCCAGCACTTTCACAGATCTGCTCTCTGCAGGGATTGACTGAATGCTTCTTTTAGGCCTAGGTGGGGTCAGAAAAAGGCCCTCTTCCCCTCAGAGTGGGCAGAGGGGGAAGACTGGAGCTGCTTGGCTAAGAACTGCTCCAGGCTCTCCCCTCCCCACATCCATGAGAAGGCTCAGCCGGGAGCAGTTGTTCCTCCGCTGCCCCAAACTGAAGGTTGAGTAGAAGACGGGCAGGCTCGGTGGAGGGAGAAAGCCCCGTTTCTTACAACTCAAGAACCACCGGAGGACCTTCGTGCCACCCTGGTGGGTGGGGGTGTTTTTCCTTGGTTGCCCCAGAGTAGGGTCTCCTTTCCATTTGGGGGGGCTAAACGTCGCTTGGTGCTCACCCCAACTCTTCTGGTCCAATAGAGGAAACAGGCCGATGTTCAGGCTCCCCTGACGACCAGCACTGAGGCCTCCTACCTTGTTTCTCTGAGTAGGATTAACCAGAAGCCTCAGAGACACAGATAAAGGTTAGAAAATGATCTGAGCTACAAAATGACCTGGCCGCCCGCTCCACTGGTTCAAATCCAGAGTGCTTTCTTCCTGCGTTTCCTACAAATACAAGAACTGTTTGAGTACCGCTTGGTGGCTTTGAAGCTAAACCAGAATCACGAAATGGAAAGATTGGAAGAGATGCTAGAGATCAGATCAGCTGGTGCAGCAGCCCCTCTTCAGTGAAGGAATCCATCGTCAGCAGCTCCTCAGCCCCAAGAAGAACTGCGGGCTCTTCACACGGAAAGTTCTTCAGAAGAAGCACGCTGCTGCGGCTGCGGCTGTGGGTGGGCTGTGGGTGGCCCTTCCTCTTCCGGAGGATTTCCTTCCAATGGAGGAGACACAAACACTCCCCACACCCCTGCCCCCCCCCCCAATTCAGGAAAGTGTTGGAGACAATAATCACGGGCTGGTATTCCTTCAGCAGCCCCTGCTTCTCCCTTCTGGGAGCCCCCGTGCCAACCATCGAAGCAAGCCAAAGCTTAGCCCAACTCCCTGGCCAATGACCCAGCAAGACCTACCTGAGACAGACAAGCGGGCACCATTGCTCTGCCGCGTCTCCCCACTGTACTTGTGTTTTGTAATGCATCTGTAGGTGGAGAGGGCGTCTTCCTTCTGGACGTCTGATATGTACAACCCACCATAGAAAGTAATGAAAAACCTATTTTCTGGAAGAGACAAGCGGAGAAAAGAGAGCAACGTCAGCATGTTTCGGTCCCAGAAGGCTAAAAGAATCAGTGCAACACAAGAGAAGGAGGCGCCTTGCAGGCTCCAGGCTCTTCCATTGGGAAGTGCCCGAAAGGGCCCAGGCCCAGCCTGCAAGGGGGCTTCTAGCTCTCCTTTGGGCAGGCTGGAAGTGGTCTGGTTGAGCCCCCAATTTAACACTCCTTAGATACTGAGATGCCTTAAGGCAGCTTTGGGAGTAAAACAAACATTCTGGTTGAGCCCCCGTCAGAAAGCGAGGGCAATTTATACCTGTCTGCAATCTCATCCACACACTGCGGGCGTCTGGGCAGGTAAAAAGCACAGACTACACATTGGAGGTGAGATGCCAGCAATAAGGTGTGCTTCATTTACCCACACCACAGTGTTGGCAGTAAGACCGAGACTGCAAGGGCCCGTCCACCAAGAGACCTCGGCAGAGAAGCCCTGCCAAGGGACGCAATGGAATGGAACTGGCATCAGGAGGAGGGGGGCAAGTTGCTCTGCAGCCAGCAGGGAGGGGCTCCAGTTGCCCAGCTGATGCCCAGCCACCAGCATTGCTCAAAGCCAGCTTCTTCCCCAGGGCATCCTCAGCATTGGAGAGAAGCACCCTGGAAAGGTCCTTTTCTCTGGAGGACCACACACCCATCGTCCTCGGTACAAGCCATAGGTTGAAGTTCAGAGTCATCAGTCTGGAATGGGGGGGGGGGGGGCGGGTGAGGGGTGGGGAAGGGGGACAAAGAATCCAGATTCTCCCAGCTGCCTGCGAACCAACAGCCTGGAGCCTGTCTGCCTCAGAATTTGGGGGTGGGGGGAGGCAGTTGCTATGGCAACAGGCAACCACTGCTTTGCAAATGGCTGCTCTCCCCTGTTCAATTTGTATGCACATTTAATTGATGGAGTAGCTTTTCAGAAACATCAGCTCTTATATTCTGCAAGGAAGGAAAAGGCCTTGAGGGAAGGAGGCTGCACTAACAAAAACCATGCTAAAGGATTCCCTACTCTGGGAAACATGGGGTGGGGGAAGATCCTCCCCAAAAGACAGGAATATCAACAGCCAGAAGTCCCTTTAAGCCCACAGGCTGAAAAGGGAACCTCTGGCTGAGCTCGGCCGTGTCCAGGGCCCCCTCAGACCTCTTGTCCTGGGCCAATCTTTTCCTCCGGAGAGAGTGGAGAAGGAGGATGCTGGGCCACCTACTGCTTAGTGCTTAGGCTGTGCCCCAAAGGGCCAGAGAGGGTCCACTGCAGGGGTGGGTTTCAACCGGTTCGCGGCGGTCCCTGCGAACCGGTTGGTCGGCGAACCCGGAAGTAAGCCCGCCCACCCACCCGCCCGCGGTCCTTACCCGGTTTTGACGAGTTCTGTGCTTCCACGCATGTGCAGGACGCATACAGCGCCT